GTTGACACGGTTGATGTTGCTGTTTGTTGTTGCTGTTGATGTTGTTGTTGTGGTCGTTGTTGGTGTTGTTGTTGTTGGTGTGGTTTTGGTTGTTGTTGTTGTTGGTGTTGGTGTTGGTGTTGGTGTTGAACATTATTACTTCTAAAGAATAATTATTGTTGGGACCCCTGGTGCACGGCCCCCTCGCCGCGCCTAGGCCGCAGCCGTGTTTTCATCATTTTCGTGAGGAAGTCTCCGGCAAAACGGGTTGGTCCGGATCCGGTTGTTTTGTTACGGGCGGTTTTCCCTTGCAAAAAAGAAGGCAAAGTGGACATTTCTTGTTCTAACATAACCAAACTTCAAGAATCCCTTGCAAAAAAAAGGTAAAGTGGACATTCGCGCGCGCAAGACGAAATCCTTCCAAAACCTTAGTGTTCGTAGCGATTTTAACATAAAAAACATAAAAAAAACAATGGTTTTTCAAAAAACAAAAAAAAAAACAAAAAAAACACATCCCGCGCGCTCTTGCGGATTTGTGGGCAACCCAACACTTTTTAAACATTTCTGTCAAACGGGTTGTTGCGAGCAACTTTTTCACGTGCTTCGAACTTCTCCAACAACGGTTGCGCACCTGCCAGGGCCATCATCCCTGTCAAATAATACCATGCGGGACACATTCGTTTTTTCTTCGTGTCATGCGCCAGTGTAGTAGCCACGGTCGTCCGCAGGCCACGAAGTGAAGTGTCCGAACGTCATAGGGCGGGAAGCTGGGTGTGGGTGGTGGCGAAGAGTCGTTTGGAAATTTGGTAGAGCTTGAACCGGCCCCCCCACAAAGTGGGGGTATTGCCCGCCTCCTATGAAAACCCTGGCACTGGTGAGAACGGAGTGTCCCCACGTGCTAGTAATTGTTGTTGTTGTTGTTGTTGTTGTTGTTGTTGTTGTTGTTGGTGGTGTTGGTGTTGTTGATGTTGTTGTTGTTGTTGTTGTTGTTGTTGTTGTTGTTGTTGTTGTTGTTGTTGGTGTTGTTGGTGTTGTTGTTGTTGTTGTTGGTGTTGTTGTTGTGTTGTTGTTGTTTGTTGTCGTTTTTTTCACCCGCGACCCACCCCGCGACCCACCCCGCGACCCACCTGGCGACCCAACCCGCGACCCACTCGGAGACCCACCCGCGACCCACCCGTGACCCACCCACGACCCAACCCGCGAGCCACCTGCGACCCGCCCGCGAACCATCCGTGACCCACGGGCGACCCACCCGCGATCCACTTGCGACCAACCCGCGATCCACCCCACGACCCACCCGCGACCCACCTGCGACCCACCCCGCGACCCACACCGCGACCCCTCCGCGACCCCCCCGCGACCCACCCGCGACCCACCCGCGACCCACCCACGACCCACCAGCGACCCACCCGCGACCTATGTACATTGGTTGAACACAAATCTGCGCTTGCGGCGGGCTCGTTGCATAATTTGTGAAATGTTGGCGCTTGCGGCGGGCTTCTCCAGAGATTCGCAAACTGCCGACGTCCCCACCGCCCCCTCATTCTTATCCGCATCTGCAGGGTGCCACGTTTTTTTTATTTTTCGCCCAGAATCCGCCTGTAGAGGGACAGGCCCGGCTTAATGTTCGCCCCAAGGTGTGTTTGCTCAGCTCAGCCCCACCGACAGCACGCAGCCTCAGTCGGCCTTCGTGGCACCGCCTCCTTCGCACAGTCATCGAGTCCACAGTAAGCAAGTGCACTGTTCCAATGTTCGGGTAGGAAATCGTCTGCAACATTGATCGACCCCCAGTTTGATTCGGATGTGCAAAATGTCATACATCTAATGTTCGTAGATATGAGAATGGCTTGTCAATGGAACGAGAAAGAAACATCAACTCTGGGGTAGATGGTTTCTGTAGCTCTGGGGTAAATGAATTCTGTAGTTGATCCCGCACTCGGAATGCTACCCTCGTATCCTTCCATTTCGGCCCGTCCTGGGACACTTTCCCTGGCAGCGCCCCGCTCGAAAGGTGTCGACATGACCTTCCAAGGCCCTTGCGTCCTGATCGCGCATCCTTAACATGCGCTTTTGACTGTTCCCTCGCAATTCCGCTTCCAGAACGCACTAGCGCCGATTAGCGTCGGGTACTTAATGAGATAGCGTCAATTCAGCGTCGGACATCGCCGATGGGCGGCGATTTGGCGCCGATCAGCGTCTGGTAGCGCCGATGCGCAAGAGCCAACATGAGATGGTATGGGAGGCTCCCGCCAGGATAACCGACAAGGGCCGGTCGTGCGCCGGGTGTTGCTCCCGAGAGGCTCCTCGCAGGAAACGTTTTCGTGGTCCAGGTCGGCGGCGCGTGCGCAGGCAGGGCACGGGAAGAGCAGGTCGGCCTGGCCCATGCCAAGAGACTTCTGCTTGCCTCCAGGGTGCCCTGGGTTTCTTCGGCGTCGATGGTTTCGCAATGGAAAGCGTGACATTCCCGCTCCAAACATCGACGGACGTCTTGGGGTCTCAGGGTTGGGCTCCTTTGTGGAAGGCTTCTCGTGGTCGGGCCCCTATTGTAGGGCGGGGCTGGACCTAAATGCTGTTTTGCTGGACTTTGGCTGTGTTCTGTTTTCGCGTTTTGGGAGGCACGGGCAGGAAACCAGGTTGAGCAAAACGAGCAACAACACGAACACTAAACGAACACCAGCGTTTAGGTCCAGCCCTGCTGTGCTAGGGGGGAAGGCTTCTTGGAGGGAGGCTGCTGCTGCCGAGAGAAGGCGTGGGCACGGCACGTGTGAGGCCCGCACCTTCAGGGAAGCAGCCTCCTTGCCCCCTCCCCCTGCAGTCAAGTCGGGTGTGTCCCTCTACGGGAGGCCTTTTCAAAGCAGGCAAAGAAATAGGATGGGGACGAATTTTATGTCATGTCTGAATACGTTTGAAAATGTTTGGGGTATTCTGTTATTGTTCGTCCCAAATCCGCCTGTGGGGGAAGATGCCCGACCCAACCCTATAGTCGGACCGAGGTATAGACTTTCTAGATCGCATCGGGGAGGGTACCCTCGCGTTTTGGTGTGCCTGTTGGATGTTATTGTGCATCCTGGGGAGGGTACCATTGGATGTTCTGGTTGTTTGGGCCGACGCAGGGTCTCGTTTTCTCGAAGGATGTTCTTCTGGCCTGGGTCCGACGGTACCCCCTTTTGCGCGCCGCCAATCAGGGGCTCCTCGATGCGGTCGCCTCCTCCGCGCTCCCCTTGACCTAGGACCTACACAGGTACACCGATTCGGACCAGGTCCGTGCTGAGCACAGGGTCGGTGCACACGCCCTCCTGCTTTGGCCAGGAAGGCATGTGCACCGATCCCGGGTCAAGGGTGGGCCTCGCCAGGATCGACGCATGTGCACAGTTCAATTTGCACGATTGGACCACTCCGGCTTTCATAATAACAGGGGGGGAGGCACAGCCTTTCCAGACGAGCAATTTGGGACCACCACCACCCCAGACAAGCCATGAAAGGGCTGCTTATCCCCAGATCCGCTAGAACCGTCCAAGACGGCGCAAATCAGACCCTGACAAAGTCGGAACGCTCCCTTTTTGCAGTGACATCAGGACTAGGCTTTCGATTATTGTTCCTCTCGCTTCGGGGGCTGCTAAAGTCGAAGAACACAGAACTTCATGAACATCGGTTGGCGCTGCAAAGATAGCGCGCGCTGTGGGGCCGACGGCCCGGTTACTACGCGCTGTCCCCCACCTTGGGGATAGCGTGCACCGAGGAAGCCCTGGCAGGGGGATAATGTGCACCGACGAGACTCGCAGGGGGATAGCGTGCGCAAATGGGGCCCTCGCGGGGAATCGCCTCACAGGGACAGCGTGTTTCTCGGAAACTGGTGCTGCTCGCTATATTTGCGACGCCAACTCTGATTTCTCGGAGGGCTCCGCGCGGATTCCTCGGGTCAGCACCAGGACCCCCTGGGCGGCGCCTCCAGCTTCGGCTCTAACGCGTTCCGCGCTCCAGGGACCGGGGACCCCCAAGCGATGTGGTGACCACACCATGTGGTGAGTCGGTGGTGTAGATTCGGGTTCGCCGCACGGTTTTGGGACTTGGGTCGTTCTCCGAGGTCCCAAAAACGTGCGGTGACGGACCTTGCAGTGAGGTCATTGCGGATTTCGAGGTCACCGCCAGGTCCTGTCACCACTCGGTTCTGGGACCCCCACAGGGGGGTGGGTCCAGCGTCGATCCATGCAATCCGCGCGGAGTTCCGAAAAGTCAGGTCAGGTAGAGCTTCGAACCAGACGGTGCTTGAGCAGAAGAAAAGTGGAGAACAGACGAATGCCTTCGGCATCTTTTCCGGCTTCCGACAAGCAGCTCCCACTCGCGCGTTGCATCGCCCACTTTGCGGAAGTGGTCAAGCGAGATGGCGAGACGCGCGTTGGAGCCGCAATTTCCCATGCAATTGCGCATGACGATGTTGATGTGTTTGCTCGAGTTCTGGAATATGATGTTCATACGGCGCTGGCCCAAGGTGCCCCCCGATTGTTCGCGCCATCTTGGGAGCCCCTGAGGCCCTCTTGGCCTCACGGGGGGGGTGCTCCAGGGGCCGTGGGAGCCTTCTTGAAAATCTTTGGGGGCACCTTGGGCCATGGGCACCTCTGGCAACATCAGGTCGTTAACGTAGCATCTGGTTGTCGGGCCGGACGAAAGGGAGGGATTGGGAATGGGGGGGGTGCGAAATCTGCTGCATACAGCAGGTTTCGGCCCCACCGAGGGGCCATTCCTCGATACATAGCCGCCTCTGGTGCCGGGAGGCGCGCTACGTGAGCTGATTCTCAACCCCCCCCTATCCCCCCCTTTCGCCTGGCCCGAGGTTGTTGCTCAGAAGTCCGCTGAAGTCTGCCGCGGACCGCCTGAGACCGCCGAAGGTGGATGGGTGGTAGTGGAGTCCATGATCGAGCACGTCACTTCCACGTGCGCACGGGGCAAGTGGACACTACCACCGCCAGGCCTTGAACTGACACGCCATCGCGCTCCAGCATGCGGGGCTCGGCGGACCTGAGTATTAAGCCCTTTTTCAGGTGTTTCGCGCTGAGGGCATCCCAGCGCCACAAACGTGCTACCTCCGAGGTCGGCTGGCCACACTCAGGGTTTAGGGTGGGCGTCGCCGCGGCCGCCTCCGGTGTCGTCCTTGGCTCCGCCGTCGTCATCGTCGTTGCCGTAGTTGTCGCCGTCGCCGCCTCATCGTGTTCCCCCTGCCTCGTCGTCGTCGTCGTCGTCGCCGTCGCTGCCGCCGCTCCCGTCGTTGTCGTCGTTGTCGTCGCCATCGCCGTCGCTGAACACGATCGGGGATGGAAGATTGGTGGCGTTTCGAGGCCTCGGCGGATGCTCTCGGCTCCACGGCTTGATCTGCCTCGAAATTCTTGCCAGAACGCGCCCCAGGACAGGTCCCTGACATTCGAAGAAGAAAAGCATCAAGAAGAGTGCATGCGCATAAACGGTCGAAAGTGCGCTGAGTCCTCCTCGCGCCGCCTCCAGCGCCGCCCCTGGCGCGCTCCGCGCGCCACGTAGGGGGTCCAGCGCCGATCCGAGAAATCCGCGCGGAATGTCGAAAGTTCGTTTTTGCGGCTTCCCCATCGAAAACCCTGCGTAGACATAGATTTTTCGAGTTCCGCGCGGATATCGTGGATCGGCGCTGGACAGGTCCAGAGGGGGGATGGTCGAACGGGCCTCGAATTAAGATAAATCAGTTCCAGAGCGTACCGGAGAGACCTCAGATCGTTCCGGAACCCTTTGGATTGGCCGCGCCGCCCGAGACATCCTCTAAACCAGCCGATTCTCAGAGACTGAGACTTCCAATTCATATCGGTCCGATTTTGTCTCGATTCCGCCGTCGTCGGCCCAGGAGAAGCCAGGCAGACCGCGGGGAGGCCATGCAGGAAGCCAGACATGGGAGCGGGCCCCGAGAGTTTCGATCTCCGATCCGATCTCCGGATCTGGGCCCCAGGGACGTCCGTCTTCAGAAAGGAAGAAGCACAGACGCTAACGGTCGTCGATTTGCATGAAAGCATGGGCGAGAATACTGGCAAGGGGAGGGGAAGAGGAACCCTCAGGAAATGTGGAAGCCGTGGGGCCTCCTGGGAGCTGTGCCCGTTGATCTGTGCGTCGTCCGGTGCCCCCCCTCCTGGCCGTCTGCCCTCTCGGGGTGGCGAGCCGACCCCGGCGCCGTCCGTGTGACTCTGGCGGCCCAGCACCTCCGGGGGCGGCAAAGTGGGTGGTGATGACTAGGGGGGGGGGGGGTACTCCAGGTTTCGTAATCAAAGGGAGGGGGTCTGGACCCTCCAAGACAAGCCATTTCAGACCTCCCCCGTGGGAGAACCCTCCAAAACATCGTCCCCAGACCCCCCCAGGCCCTCCAAGATAGCCTGGAAGAGACCCCCCCCCGAAATGAGACCCCCCTCCCTTTATTACGAAATCTGGAGTATCCTGGCGGGGGCCATGATATTTCCAAGATTTCATAGCGCCTCTTCTTGTTTCATCACGTGCCTCGGCCCCCCCAGGGGCCGCGCACATGCCGCCGGCCACGATTTGCGCCCCCCCCCCCTTGGACACCCCCCTCTTGGCCGCTCCCGACTCTCGGGGGTTGCCAGAAGTGCCCCTGGCCTTGAGTCGGGCATGTCCCTTTACAGGAGGAGCATCCAGAAACCGTCAAAGAGCAGTCTGGGGACGATGCTTTCAGTCGTGTTTTGACTGCTCTTGATTGTGTTTTGAATGTGTTGATTTGTCCTCCAAAATCCGCCTGTAGGGGGGCATGCCCGACCTAACCCTGGCCCAGGGTGCTCCCAGGATTTCCCAGGATGCCTCTGCGGCCTTCAGAGCACTCCGCACGAGGCCCGGAGGGCGCCAGGGGCTCCGAAAGGGAGCGAGAAGCTTGGGGCACCTTGGGTCAAGGGGTTAGCAACCCCCGATGCCTCCCCTCCCGAGCCTGCTTCTCTTTCTGTTCTCTCTCTCTCTCATGATGGCGAGCACAAGGGGGCCAGGGCGAGGAGGGCGGCATTCGAAGAATGCAGGGGCTTCTTGTAAGACCAGTCCTGAAGAACACCGTACGCTCCCGCACCACGCCTTCGAAGAGGTGGGAGGCCTTCTTACAAGCCCCCCCCATCTCTCTCCCCCTTGTGCGACCCGCCAATGCCCACCACTCTATCATCGCCTCCACTTCCCCAGTCGCTTGCCAAGCCTGCATTTTGTCTGCACGTTTCACTATGGTCGCCGCAGGATCTTGGCAGGCGTCCGGGACTCCTCAGGGTCCGAGGGCTTGATGGTTCGCGCAGGTACAGTGCACGCCTTTTCCTGAAGCATGTCAGCATTGTTTCTCCCCTCTTGCTCCACCCCATTGCTCATCCATCCAGTCCTCCTCCCTCCTGCTCCCCATCCTTTCTGCATTATCCTCCTTCCCCCCCCCCCTACAACTCCGTATACGTCCTCATCCTCTCCCTCTCCTCCCTTGCCATTCTTCGATTACCTTCCCTCGGGCACCATCACTGATTTCTTCTCCTCCGATCCGTTCCCTCATCCTCTATCGTCCTCATGCCCTCCTCCCTCGGCCTCCTTCCTCCCCTCAATATCCGTCCTCCTCTTCGCTCCTCTTCCTCCTCCCTCGTTTCATGTCCTCCTTCCTGTACTATCCACACTCACTCCTCCCTTCCCTCCCAAATATCCGTCCCTCTCCTCCTCATCCTCCTCCTCCCTCATCATTCCTCTCAACTTTCCTCCATTCCTCCCTCCTCCTCCTTCCCTTCTCTTCGACCCTCCCGTCCCTTGCCTCTTCCTCCCTGCTCAGTCCGGCCTCGCCTCTGCCTCGCGGCAGGTTCGTTTCGTGTTGACGCAGCGGCGACCCCGGCGCGGGCGTTCAAGGCGGAACGCCGCCAGATGTCTGGGATCGGCCGATGCCGGGCGATCCGCGCTGTCAGACAGCCGCGATCCTTCGAGGCTGAAGGAGATGCGGGCGGGATGTCGGAAGCGAGCGCACACGGCGTCGCGGCCCGAGCCGGCCGTGTCTCCCCTCCAGTGTTCGAGAGCGGGGTCGGGGAGAGAGGAGAGCAAGTGTCAAGCAGTGGCGAAGCGTCTTGGCTCGCCTAGAGCCTTACCAAACAATGTTCTAAGAACCTTTTGTGGTTTCCACGAAATGTTCTCAGAACATGTCTGGCGGAGTCTGTTTCGTTTTATCACATCGGGTTTATGTTCTAAGAACATTGTCTTTGTTATAACATTGTTGGGTTCTGAGAACATTTCGTGGTAGGACTATAGGAATGCCAAGACGGTCGGTCCCTGCTCAAAATTGTATGTGCATAGATACGGGGAAGGGGAAGAGAGAAGCGTAGATAGGATCGGGCTAGGCGTAGCCGCGCTGGAAGCTCGTTCGGGCCTCAACTCGGGGCCGAGCTGGCCAGCACCTCACTGGGCACAGAGTCAGCGTACTGTCCCCGCTTGCCCCCAGGACCTCCAGGGTCAGCACCCAGGCGAGGTGACGTGCGGAATGTGGGGGCAGAGAGAGAGAGAGGAAGAAGATCTCGTCAGGGTCCAGACCGCTGCGCCACGGAGTGCGAAGGCGGCCTGGCCGCTTGGTAGTTGATGCACCCTGTGCTGCTCGTGGGGAGAATCGATGGTCGACCAAGGCAGCCAAGGCTCGCCGTGGCCATCAAAGCTCCTTCGCTCCTTATACAGCGCGACTTCTGGCACGATGGACTATCACTGCAGGAGTCGTCGACATGATCGCCGTTGCTCTTGAAGGCGTAGGCGATGGTCTTGCATTCAGGGCACGGACCGCTTCTCCACGAGCTTGGGCCAGTCTCGTACCTCGCCTTCGTCGCAGTCCCTGTGCAAGGTTTCTTGCCATAGAAGTTGGCCTGGTGTGTGCCGTCTGTCGGCTCTAGTCTCAACACGTTCGGCATGAGCTCCACGATCGGCCGGACCTTCGCGTTGGGCAGGCAGATGGCCCAGGCGTGCGCGTCGGTCGCCTCCGTCTGTGATGCTCGCCACCTCCTTGCCCTCCAGCCAGCAGGCTTCGAGGGGATCATCCCTTCCTCCTCCTCCTTCTTCTTATCCTCCTCCTCTTCTCCTCCTCCTCCTCCTCCTCCTCCTTCTCCTCCTCCTCCTCCTCTTTCTCCTCCCCCCCTCGCCCCCGTCCTCCTCCTCCTCCGCCTCCTCCTTCTCCTCATCCGCCTTCTCCTCGTCCTCGTCGAAGGGTGGGGAGCATCCCCCCCAGGAGGCCAGGGGACGATGCGCCTGAGATCCAGCACGGCATCCGATGCCGCCCTTGATCTCGGGCGCCTCGTCTGTGGGGCTCCCGTGGGGCCGCAGCCTCTGCGCGCCACGGTGCCCTCATTCTTTAGGAGAACGAACAATGACAGAAACATACAAACTCGGAGGTCTGCGCGGATTTCTCGGATCCGCGCTGTACCCCCCTGGCGGCGGCGCCTCCGGCGCCGCCCCTGGCGCGCTCCGCGCGCCAGGGAGGGGGGTCCAGCGCAGATCCGAGGAATCCGGTTGGACCTCCGGGTTTTTACGTTTATGTCATTGTTCGCTCCATTCGTCTTGCCCCCTGGTGCCCCACGGCCGTGGCCGCGAGTGCTCGTTCCCCTATGATGGGCTTGTTTTCCACCACCACCACCACCACCAGAAGTTGGAGGGGGGAAGGAGGTGGAGGACGAGGAGGAGGACGAAGAGGACGAAGAGGAAGAGGAGGACGAAGAGGAGGAGGAGGAGGAGGAGGAGGAGGATCCTCTCCCCCTCCAACTTCTGGTGGTGGTGGTGGTGGTGGAAAACAGGCCCACCGCCCTAGTCTTGCCCCCTGTGCCCCACGGCCGTGCTTCCGCGGGGCGGGCGGCGGCGGCCTCCTCCTCGGGCCTCCCTCGGCCTCCTGCCCGTGCTCGGGCCTCCTCGGGCCTCCGCGGCCTCCTGCTCGGGCCTCCTCGGGCTCCTCCTCGGCCTCTTCCTCGGGCTCCTCCTCGGGCTCCTCCTCGGCTTCCTCGGACTCCTCCTCGGCCTCTTCTCGGCCGTCTCGCTCCTCCTCCTGGTGCTCATCCTCCTCCTGGAGCGCCTCCACTGCTCGCAAAGTGCCTACACGCAGACGCCCGAGAACCACATGCTTGCTCAGATGGAATGGATCGTAGGGCCCCCGCGGCGGATCCAGGCCATTGGCGAGTAGTTACTTTGCGGGCAGTGGAACGCGCGTGTCTGAGGGTTCAGGGACTCCGCATGGTGGGCCTTCCGGAACTCCTCGTCCTCGGCGGAGGGCGCTATGTTGGCGCAGGGCGGTGCCGCGG